TTGACAAAGGAATGAAGTTTTTCTCTTCCTCTGCCCTCTCACAATGACCTATCGGCTGCACAAAAAAGATGTGCCTATCACTGGTTTTACAGAGAGACTGTAAAAGTTCTGCAATAAATTGAGATGAGACGTTGGAGCAGTGGAATCAACAGACGTAACGACGAGTGCCCAACATTTTATTCATAAAGACGGAAAGTTCCCATTTCAATTACACATTCAAAATGGTTTTGTTTTGCAGCTGAGCACCCTATTATTATCGGAGAAAGAGAAAGTAGTCAACATTCTGTTACAGAGCAGTAGGAATGAGGAGCAAAAGGTTACACACAAGGTAAATGAACAATACTGGAATTGAATTAAATTAAAACACTAACTTTAGCTTAAAAAGATTAAAGTTTGTATGGTTGACGTTTATGTGTAATGCTCATATGTGATGTTGGGTGGATTATCTCGGCTAAAGAGTCATGCTCACTGAAACATACTTACCATACACAGCTTTGTCAATAACGTTGCATAGTCATGAATCTACATTCAATTTTATTATGTATGTCATTCTGCTTGTTTCATTTGCCACATTCATAATTGTACCCCTGAATGATCAGCTGGATTATGCGATTGAGGCACAAATTAAAAACTAAACAGAAAAAAATATAGTTCAATAGATTTAGGAATGACTTTTCTTAGAAAGGAGGGAAATGTATTCTTCTGTCCATACAGCTGACAAATCCACCATTAGAGTCAACCTTGGAAGAAGGAGGAAAAGTTCCATTACTTGGACTAATGGAACTGAGTGAATGATGACACTATGGGCCAATAAATCAGTCACGACAATGAGCTGACGTGTTTCAGCCAACCTCAACTTTAGCTGGTGAAACTGGACAAAATGTCAACAGTATATTGAGTAGGGAGTGCAGTTACAAAAAAATTAACTTATAGACTGTAAACATGGGTTCTCAATCATGTCACAGAAATCCCCAATGGCACAACCTTGTGTGTCAGTGTGTTACGGGTTATAGATGGAGTGGGTCATACATGTGCTTGTTTGGACACTTGAGAAGCAATATCCCAAAGATACAAGAATTGATTTACGAGGTCGGAGGCTCAAAAATGGTCTCCCGAGAGACGGAATCTATGGCTGGCGAGAACACACTACAAAAGACGCAATAATGTCTGCTCTGATCCGATAAGCAGTGAAATGTTCTCCAACTCTTATCTCATGATCGTCACGCATGTGCAGGTGAGGATGATAACTACTGTCCTTTATTTAACCAGGTAAGTCCCACTGAGATTACTTTTTCAGGGTAGTCCAGTCCAGAGGGTGTTTCTATTTCTCTCTCTGTAGTTACATTATTAGATTATTTACAATGTATTTACAGTTTGATTTATATATATGCTTATTACATTCTTGTAGAAACCGCTTGGATCCCACTAGTCATGAACAATAACATCAACCAAAGCACTTTCTCTCATTCAAAGAAGACTCAAACCACAGACCCCACACCGCTACGATAACCGTGAGACGTGAAGTTTCCAAGGGCAGTGTCCCGATCAATATAATGAGAAACACAAATCAATAAATGTGATTAACGCGTTAGGGCTGTCTGCAGTTTGACATAGAAGAATCCCCACGAGTCTGTGTGCACTGTGTGACACAATGAGCCTCACGCTCTCATGCCACACGCTTTACATGGTGCCTTCTTCTTTGCTGTTGCGTTACCCCGGCTCATTCAGCTGAGCTCTTGGCAAACAGCTCTTGCCGAGCGTTACTTTTGAGGGATTATAAGCAGCACATGGAAGGATTGTCACAGACAAAGAGCCGCTGCCGGGGCCTAGGGTGCCAAACCAAGTCATGCATAAACTCATTGAAAGACATTTTATGTCTATGTAGTCTTGTCTACCTTCTAGCCCAGTGTTCCCAGCCTTTATGAGAGCCATGGCACACCTTTTTAATTGAAAACAATCTCATGGCACACCAGCAGCTTAAACTCATGCAAAAAATAAACTCTGCAGTCTTCAATTAGAAAGCAAAGCAATTCTCATAAAAGTCTATTAAATAGAAAATCAAACCTAAAAAAGATGGCCGCACATTCAGCTGCGTGATTCCTCTTTCCATTTGCCATTTAACAATCCACAGACATCTGCACAGAAACTGTTTATATCACCGTGACACTCCCTACAATGGCTAATGCTGCAGACATCAACGAGGCTCTCGGGCGGATGCAAGTTTACTTGACTACTTACTTTGATTCCAAAATTGGCAAACTTCAATCGACGCTGATTAATATACAGGGGTCTTTGGCTACATTGAACGAGCAGAGTAAGTGTCAATGAAGACCATATAACCAGCATGGAAACCCGAGTGACGTGTCTTAGAACTCTTACCTGAGGGACAAAGTTGAAGATCTGGATAACAGAAGTCAATCGTACAGAACATACAGAACATTCGTTTTCTGCGGATCCCAGAGAAAGCCGAGGGTTCTTTCATGATTGCCTTCATTCAGAAGTTTCTTCCTCATCTTCTCGGCACGGATAACTTCTGCACCGCCAGTCCTTGAGCGGGCGCATCGTACTCCTACAATAAAACAATCTGATGGCAAAAGCTGGCCCAGACCTATATTGGTCAAGTTCCTTAATGCCCAAGACAAGATGAAGATTCTCCGTCTGGCCCGTGATAAAGGAGAGCTGCAGTTTGGAGGTTAGCGAGTGCACATTATCCCGGATTACAGTGCAGCTCTTCTTCAGAAGCGGCGTTTGTTTGACCCCATCAAGATGAACATCAAATATGCACTCTAGTATCCAGCCACGCTTTGTGTCACTGTTGATGGGAAGTCAACTTTGTTCCACTGTCCCAAGGATGCAGAAATGATCTTCATAAACAGTGACTAGTTCTCCTCTCCTCCGCACTGGTTCCATCTTGTTCTTTTTTTCGGAACATCTTTCTTTATGACTCACTTTATTCCATTTGATAAAGCTGATATGAATACAAATCACTGTCACTGTCTGAGCCACTTGTTGCATTCGCTTTTTGTTTGCCGTTAATCGCTGCCGTTAGCATTGCAACACTCTTATCATTATTTTCTTATCATGTAATTTATCTAGATGCTCTAGGCGTTTCTCTAATTTAAAGATTCTTAGTTAAATGATTACTGACTGACTTATCAATTTCACTTTATGTACGAGGTGTTTTCTATGTGCTTTTTGTTAAGGCCATCAACACATTTGTTAAAGAAACTAAATGCAGACTGAACTTGCTCATGTTCTCTTTTTATTCTATTTATATGTTTATGTGTGTCTGTCTGTCTGTCTGTATTATTGTATTATTCTACCAGCTGCTGTATGTATGGCCTGTATTTTACTATATTGTATACAGAAATGATGTATATGTTTTTTGAATGTGTCATTATTGTAGGAGGTGGAGTGGGATCTGAGGGAGCGAACCTGTCCTGTCCTGTGTGTGTTAAATGTATAAATTAATTGTTTGTATTGTGCTTTATTATATGTATTGTGTTTGTTTTATGTTCATGGGACCCTCTCGAAAATGAGAAGCTGCATCTAAAGGGGTTTTCCCTAAACAAATCACAGTATTTTCTTTTCACATTCGACCAATTAGATGGGTCATTTCCAAAGGCACACCAAGCAAAGTCTCAAGGCACATAAACATGCCACGGCACACTGGTTGAAAAACACTGTTCTAGCCACGCTCTCATCTCAACTTCACCCTTATGCTACCGCCATTACCTGGAGCTCATGCCATCAGTACCTGTTCTCATGGCACCACCAGTACCGAGGTCCTGGGGGATTATAAGCGGCACACATGGAATGATCGACACGGACAAAGTGCTGCTGCCTAGGGTGCCAAACAAACCAATTAATAACAAATTTATCTAAATGTTATGTCTGTCTGTGCAGTCTCTCCAGACAAACATGTCACTACTCAGAGTGAGAGAGATAGCCACAGACTAAAACTATTGTTGTTTGTTACAGGGATGAGAATGGGATATTTCAAAAAAGTCTGAAATGCTTACTCCTTTCACTGGCTGTCACTAAATCTGTTTGATTTGTTCACAAAATGTTTCTTTTTGGCACAATCATCATGATCTGTTAATGCAAGGGAACATTTATGTACCCCAGGTTTAGGCATTGTTTATACAGAGGGTAGACACGAACATACCCTGAGGCTTTTGGAGGCGATTATCCAGCTCGTTTTTTTGCGGTGGTGTATTGATTGCGTGGACAGGTTACGACAGGCACTCAACAAGCAGAGAATGGTCCTGTGCGCGTGTAGGATCCTGGGAATATTATGACCATGATGCGACTACGGGCTCGCCACGTTGAGGATGCAGAATCCCGCTGGAGTACATACAGCGAAAAACAGCAAGTGCCCCGCGGTCAGGCTCGCCCCCCCTTTTTTCTCAACAGACTTACACATTTCACAAAAATGGCAGGCAGGCAGGCAGATCGGCCATTGCCCAGTACGCCAGATGGCCAGTTCCAGGTCTTATAGCATATAAGAAGAGATGGATTGAGAATTATTTGTTTATTCATTTTCTACACCTTTATTTGTCCATTTCTGGCTTGGGGGGGCAACAATCAGAGCTGCCACCCAATGCTCACAGGACCAGTCCCTCGCTGATCCTCCTGCAGTTGGTGAGTCCACAGGAATATGGCTTCTGATCTATCAGCTGTAACAAACGCCTTGGTATTTTAGTGGGGGCTTCAGACAGTGAAGTGTCTTGCCCAAGGACACAACGACAGCAGTGGGAGCATTGGCCTTTGAGCCAACTGAGCCACTGTCGCACGATTGAGAATTTGCCCTATGTTGTTTGCTTGTGGAACATACAGGACTCTATCTAATAAACCAATGCCATAAAGGCCATTTGCGGAAATGGGTGCAAGATTTGGGCAAAAAAAAACAAACTATGTGCAATGGTAAATAATGAGGAAGTGGAAGTGTGTGTGATGACAGACTCAGTCCTCACGCAGAGACGCAGAGACGGGACATCATGGCCAGCTACAAACGGACTATAATCATTTTGATCACACTTCTCCAATGTCAGGGTAATTATCATCTCAGTGTTTGTTTTAAATTTTAGTGCTTTTATATTGGATATTTTCTTGTCAAATTCAGTCTTGAAAACAAACCATCACATTTGTTGTGTGTATTGGAAAATGATGCTCTTCCTGTTTTGATGATAGTAATTTAGAAAACGGGACAAACAAGGGGAATAAAAAAAAACAAAAAAGCAAGAAAAAATATGTCTTGATGAATCCACAAAGAGCTGATAGCCTCACTCAAAAAGTTTTTAAAAAGTTGCATTTCTATCTATCTATCAATTTAATAGTCATTGATTGTCCAAAAAGTGCTTTAAAGTATGATGTATCAGGATGTATTATTGTGCTGCTATATTCAGTTTCAGAGTTTTTATTTTATTTTACTATATATTTCTTGCCATCATCAATCCATCTACCTAACTCTGTCTAAAGTCAGGCTTCCATCGGCCACTGTGCACATGTTAAAAATATTGCTGTATACAATATTGGCTAAAGTTGGACTCATGGTAAATCATGTGAAACTTTTAAGCTTCTTGGACATTTCACAACGACTGTCAAAATTTCATGCTGTGAAAGTGTTCCAAGAGAATCCAACCTTTATGATTTCATTGAAAAATGCATCAGTCTTGTGAATTCTCTCTGGGCTAACGGCTGCAGAGCTGTCAGTGCAGAAAGATAAACTTCTTATTGGTTCCTATTATAGATACTTGAGCAGAACCGTGTTAAATTTGACCAGATTCAGTTTATTTGCCGATTGGTGTTGGTTTGTTAAAATCCGCTCTCCTCTGAAGTAATCTATTTTATTTAATTGTTTTTATTCTTCCTTAAAACAGTTGTCTATCGGTTTTGTTTCACTCCATCATCTGTTTGGTTCAGTGTTATATCGCGGTGTGTGTGTGGAAACAAAATACTTCCTTTTATAATGTAGTTGATGATTTTGATTGGCAGGCCCAGCTCTGACAGAGAACTGTGAGCTGTCTGTTCCGGAGGTTCTTTGTGAATCCAAACTATTAAACCGAGCTCTTAAGATTATATCAGTGACTCTTCTGACGCCTGGAAAAGCCATGTTCCAGCTTCTTCCCTACAGTACATCTGGATATGCTTCTTTCCTCAAGCTGTGATCAGTTTGAACACATCTTGTTTTACTTATCTACTTGTCTGGTGCAGACTGACGACTTGCACATGCATTGCAATGTTGTTTTACTGCAGATGGCAAATAAACTGAATCTGGATCTTCTTAATAGTCCAGCACATACAGATTCAGATTAAGTTTATTTGCCATTTGCAGTAAAACCACATTGGAATACATGTGGCAACCGAGGGGTTAACAAATCCGAAACTAAATATAAATAGATTTAGAGATGTTGTAGCAACGGCTATTAAGTATTAGTAAAGACAAGGCAACCGGTTGCAGTTAATTCACAGTTTTATTCACAACATGATTTATTTAATTAACATTCAATATATGCACTGTTAAGATGCTTTTACATTCAAAAAGCACTAATGTTAAAATACAAGATTAAAACAAGTTACATTGTTGAGATGTCCGCCTGACAGACAAGACCCAGGACAAAGAGTGTGCACACGGGCGCCTGGTCCGAGTTTCTGTTTGCCGTCTGGTTAGGGACCCACCAGTGCGCAGTCAAAGTGGGACACGTAAATTAGCCAGAACAAAGCAACAGAGGAGCAAACGGAAAGACAGCAGTGTACATCAGCAACAGCAGATAAGGCAAAATTTGCAGCGAAGGCAACGCTGAGGACACCTAAAAAAAAGGATAATACATTTGGGAGATTACTGAACTGAACTAGATCCTGAATGAAAAAGTGGAGAACTACAAAAATGGGAGCGAGACATACCAGCGCCACGGAGCGGCAGGTAAGAGCACACCAGCACAGGTCTCCAAAGCCCATCTTACCACATACATGTGCAAAAGTTACCAGTGTGCACCAGACAAGTACATAAATAAACAAGGTAAAAAACACAATTGACACTGAAATCAATCAACAAAAACACTGTCAATACTAGTGCAAGATCATTTAAGTGCTTTGTTTGAATTGGTAACAGCTGTCCTGTATTTCAGTGAGCTATATCTTCTGCCAAAGCTGGAACATGGCTTTTCCAGGGGCCAGAAGAATCATTGACAATTTTAAGAGCTCGATTCAAGAGTCTGGATTAAAAAAAAGCCTCCAGAACAGTGTCTCTCTCTCTCTCTGATCTCTCTGGTGTCTCTCTGGTCTCTCTCTGGTCTCTCTCTGGTCTCTCTCTCTCTGATATCTCTCTGGTGTCTCTCTGGTCTCTCTCTTGTCTCTCTCTCTCTCTCTGATCTCTCTCTGGTGTCTCTCTGGTCTCTCTCTTGTCTCTCTCTCTCTGATCTCTCTCTGGTGTCTCTCTGGTCTCTAACTCTCTGATCTCTCTCTGGTGTCTCTCTGGTCTCTCTCTTGTCTCTCTCTCTCTGATCTCTCTCTGGTCTCTCTCTCTGATCTCTCTCTGGTGTCTCTCTGGTCTCTCTCTTGTCTCTCTCTCTCTGATCTCTCTCTGGTGTCTCTCTGGTCTCTCTCTTGTCTCTCTCTCTCTGATCTCTCTCTGGTGTCTCTCTGGTCTCTAACTCTCTGATCTCTCTCTGGTGTCTCTCTGGTCTCTCTCTTGTCTCTCTCTCTCTGATCTCTCTCTGGTCTCTCTCTCTGATCTCTCTCTGGTGTCTCTCTGGTCTCTCTCTTGTCTCTCTCTCTCTGATCTCTCTCTGGTGTCTCTCTGGTCTCTCTCTGGTCTCTCTCTCTGATCTCTCTCTGGTGTCTCTCTGGTCTCTCTCTTGTCTCTCTCTCTCTGGTCTCTCTCTAGACTCTCTCTGGTCTCACAGTCCTCCTTCAGAGCGAAGCACCTTGTTTAGAGTTCTTGTTTCTTTGTCTGTGATGTTGATGAACCACACAAGTACTGTACTCAGATTTCTAATCTAAATAACTTTGATGAATTATAACAAAATAACTTTAAAACAGCTATCAGCCCTTCCTGAGTTTACACAACATCACTTTTCCCCTGCTCACTCACAGACTCAATCCAAGTCCGTCACGAGTGTGTGGCTCGAGGAGAAGACGCTGCTCTCCTGTGTGAGCGTGTGGAGGCAGGACAGCAGCAGTGTGAGCAGACCTCCTGGATGTGGGACGGAGCTCCTCAGAGTCTGGTCACATCGGGACGAGTCGTATCAGAGAGAGTCAACCTGACTGAAACATGCTCTCTGCACATGAAAGGTATCTCATATCAGAAGTTGTGTTGGAAAAGTTTTCCACTGGGGTTATGTTTTCACCAGGGTTTGTTTGTTTGTCTTGTTATTTTGACCAAATTTCTAAGAAACCTCAAAAATGACAACGAAAGGTCTAGAATAGATTTTGTAGGTGATGTGGATCATCGTCTGGGAGAAGCAATGTTTTGTAGGAACTCAAAGGTGTAAGGAAAGGTGCCTCTTGGCAAAATTCAAACCCAGATGAAAACATAACCCCCTGGCAGAGGTTATAGAGAGAGATGATACAATATGATCATTGTTGGGAAAGTAACTTCAAAAACATAATACAGTTTTATTTCAAAGATTATTATTACTGTCTTTGAAATGTAAAGTATTACACGACTCCTGCACTACTGACTTTTAAGTTACTTTCACTAAATAAATACATACAATCTTAATATATCTTAATATGCTATTGCGTGAGATGATAGAGATCTTGGATTGACACATAAAGTGCACTAAACTCTTCCACATATTTGTCTTCAACAAACTTAAAATAATTAAAATGTATGTTCATCTTGAAAATGTGCTATTGTCCAACGTAGAGCCTCTTTAAGGCTTCAGCTTCAGCTTCAACCATCTTCTACCAGAAAGGAGAAGATGGTGACTACTATTGGTACTACTGGCTCTGTGATTTCACCGTGACATAGTATGGATACAAAACATCATTTATTTTTGTTGTAAATTTCCAAAGTATCACACATTACCGACCTATAGTAATTATAACCCAGGTTTATTGGGAAGGCCTTTCATTTGTAATGTGTTATTCCCGACACTGATAATGATTGATTCACAAAAAAATTACCCACCGTATATTCTGCATTATTTTTTCTCCTTTAAAGACGTGCAGCCTCAGGATTCTGGTTTGTACACATGCAGACAATGGGATCGGAATGGACAAGCTTTCCCACAGGACTATCCGGTCTCCCTGTCTGTGGTCACTGGTGAGGACTGGAGCAGGAGAGAGGAGTGGACATGACAGAGGCTTCAAACACAGCCGTGTTGACTGCTAAAGGGCTCAGAATTTTAACCTGACTTTGCTGACTTTAAACTGCAGCTAACCAATCGTGTCCACTCTCTCTGCTCTCTATGGAAAATTCTTGCTTTTCTTTTAAACCAGCCTGATTTTTGTTTTTTCTCCTCAGTGACTGAAGCCAAAGGCGATTCAGAAACATCCTTTCTGTGTGTAGTTACCAGAGACCGGCTCTGTACCGCAGTCCCAGTCAGATGGTTTTTAGGTGGAACTCGTATTGGGGACAACGATCAGGGTCTGGTGGTGGCAGGGTCTATCTGCTGGACCTCAGTGACGATGCCCACTGTTTTACTCAGCAACACTCTGAAACGAGAAGACTTCACCTGTAAAGTTTCATGTCGGGATAAAGAGATCCATTTTCACCTAAAAGACAAACCAGGTGAGAGACCAGCTGCTTCACTCTAACAGCAAATGTATTCCTATAGTCTAATTCATACAGTAAGTAATTAAAATAGAAAATAATAAATATAAATGCTTTAAAATTGGTATCAAGCACAGCTATTTGACCTGGATTTAAAACTGGCCAGGGACATCTTACATCTGTCTTATGAGCTCAGGGAGACGGTTCCAGACCCTCTGGTGGTGAGTTCACAGGAGGTCGGTGTTATACTGATCAAACAAAACTTAAAAGACTGTTTTTATACGACTGAAAGAGTGATTTACTGTATATTGCCAGTGTTTCTTGTGCAGGTTTTGAAATTAATAATTCAATTCAATATTCTCATGTATTTAACGCTTCTCTTCAACCTCATGCCGGGAAACAGCACCATTACAATGCTTTGGTTTTAAATAGTGCTTTTCTGACCACTCAAAGACCGTTCACGTATGACGCACTTGTGCACAACGCGTAACTTTCTTCTCTGACAGTATTGAGAACATGACCAAAGGGGCCACACGAGCGTTCAGGATCAACAGCGTGCAGGCTGGCCCCGAGGAAGGAAACTTGACACTGGTTAATGCCACTGGTTTGTTTTTATTGACTTTAAGCTACCGTGGGCAAGAAATGTAGAGTCTGAAGGCCTAGAGGTCGATTTTGGGCCATGGCAAAAATCGACCTCTAGGCTGAGTAATGTTTGGATAAAAACTCAACAGTGACTCACAGGGCTCTTGCATACAAATAACCTGTTAAGGGTTAGGGTTAGGATTAGAATTAGGGTTAAGACTGAATGTTGTGATGTGATTAGTTCACAAATTGTAACTTTTTCTTTTGGGACAAGCAACATACTACTGTATTTATCTAACAAAAGATAGGAGCGCAAAGTTTAACACCTGAATCACGCACAAGTAAGTGAGTAATCTTTATTTATATATTCACAACCCAGAGTCCAAAGCGGTTTACAATTGTTATTTTTGGGCATTTGTCTCTCACTCCACACAAAGATGGGAGCGGGGTCATCAGTACAGGAGGCGCATGCCAGACCTATTGTACATGTTTTTTAGTGGTAGGGAAAACCGGAGTACCTGGAGGAAACCTACGCAGACACGGGGAGAACATGCAAACTCCACTCAGAAAGGCCCTGTTCCGACCAGGATTCGAACCCAGGACCTTCTTGCTGAGAAGCGAGAGTGCTATCCACTCAGCCACCGTGTCACCCAAGGACAGGGACTTAACCACTTATGAATTTTTGCATAAATAAAACCGCTTACAAATCAATTATATTCTAGTCTCAAACTCTGCTGGGAGATTTTCACAGAGAAACTAAAGTCTGGTTTTGCTTCTCGGAGCATTCACAAGTGTTTTGGACGTTCTTCCTATTTCTGGCCTCGGTGACTTCCTCAGAGGAGAGAGGAGTGAGTGGCAGAGAGCAGAGCAGACCTGGACGTGTGTTTGGAGGAACCTTGTTGGTGCCAGTAACACAGATCTTCACACAAACCACTGTTCCCCTGTGTGTTCTGTCAGACTCTACTCTGCTTCTTCTTTGTCTGTCGAATTGGACCACAGGGGTTTTGGGGGTTTTTCTTCCAGGTGTTTTTGAACCCGGCTGACAGGTTTAGGAGGACAAGAAAAAAAGAAGCAGAAAGTAACATGTTTTCCCTTCCTTTTAGTCATTTCAATTTATTTTATTTTGGTACAGGCCTAAATCATAACAGCAGTCATTGCAAAGGACTTTAAAAATATGTGATTTGCCAAAAACAGATCAGAGAATCAATTCATTTGAATGCAGGCAATGCAATAAGAACAATCAGATAGGAGTCATTTCCATAGGGAGTATTATTTTCATTACTATTAGTCTAATACTCAACCATTAACCAGAATGCCAGGTTTGGTACCCATTTAAATCTTGATTAAAGGTTGAGATGACAACGTAAAACTCATGATTCTTCTCTTTCCTGCTCTGAGTGGTTAAAGAGCACGAGCCTTGAGACTGAATTTGTTGCACAAGGACACAGTGTTCTGAAACATCGGCCTCAAGTGGAAGTGAATGTGGGAAGTGCATTTGTTTATGTGACTTTTTCTCTAAGGTCAACTCTTAGAACATATCCAGCCGGCAGCTGTGACCACGCAAAGTTGGGTTAAGTGTCTTGCCTGAGGACACAACGACAGCAGACATCAGTGGGAGTCAGTGGAGAAGGTCTCATAGTGGGCTCAAATCTCAATCTTATTCAATATTAAGGCTAATACAATCTATTCTTAATACTAAATATTGAATCAAACTGTGAAATATTTTGAACATCTTTTAAATTTTCTTTCTGTTTTTTAAATGGAAAAGAAGTTCAAGAGATATATATATATGTATATTTTAATATGTTCAAGAAAAGTTGGAGTAATGTCCAAACTATTAAAGAAAGGTTAAAGCTGAAAAAATTACAAAATATGATGCTCTCGGCTGGTGGGCTGTGATCGCAGTTGCATCTCACAGCTGTGGTCATCTTTATCTCATGGAGAGGTTGCAAAGGTCACGACGCAGATTTAAACTGGTATTTTTGCACATTTCTCACTGATTTTGTTGCGGCGTGTTTTTCAGGGAAACAGCAGAAGCCGATGATTCCTTCTTCTGTGAGTACAACATGTTCAAAAACACGAAATGTGAAAGCGGCTTTGTAGCTACTGGAAAATTGAATGGGATATAATTCAATTCCATTTATTTCTGTGTAGCCCTGAATCACTGCAGTATTTATCTCGGAGGACTTTATAAATTGATTTGCCGTTAATTTGCCAACACTGATCAGAGAATCAGAGACATGCAATGATAAAAAACACGTAGGTCCATTGGTCCATGAGTGGACCAATGGACCTATGTATATACATGTTTATACATTTAATAAATGTATAAACATGTATATACATAAATATATATACATAAGGTCGCTACTGAGCTACTGTCGCCCCATTTACAGTTGGTAGAGCATTGGCCTTAAGCCCAGAAGGTTGTGGGTTCAATTCCCACCTCTGCACCTTCTCCACCGACTCCCACTGATGAATGCTGTCGTTGTGTCCTTGGGCAAGACACTTAACCCCACTTTGCCCAAAAAGCTCTCACTGAAAGATCAAGGCTATGCTCACACTCAGAGAGCAGCCGTCCTCCTGTGGACTCACCACCTGCAGAGGGTCAGTGAGGGGCTGGTGCTATGAGACTTGGGTGGCATCTCTGATTGCCACCCCCCTGACCCAGAAATGGATTAAAGGGTAGAAAATGGATGGATGGATGGACATTTAATAAATGTTGTTAAATGTCTAGTGTCCTGAATCATAAAAGTACATTTAAACTAATGAAAACTAAAAAACACATGCACTGTCCCAATCAAATAAACATTAAAAACAATCAAAAAATAAGGCTCCCCAGCTTTGAAAAAAAGTGGATTTGGAATTGAAATTTCTTTCTTGAATTAAATGTGCATGACAACAACAAAAAAAAAAAAAAAAAAATTATATATATATATATATATATATATATATATATATATATATATATATATATATATATATATATATATATATATATATATATATATATATATATATATATATATATGTATATATATTGTAAAACTGCTCCAATAAAAAAATACTACTAAAAATACTTCTACTTATTTGTCCAGATTCCTGCAAAGGAGGAGGCCATCACCTACAGCTCTGTGAAAACCCCTGAGGACGACTTTGTCAACCAACAAACCAACTGAATATCATGTTTCTGAGAATTCTACTGTACAATTATGATAGTACTGGCTTTTGTTGTGTCTGCTCTTATATCCCTGTGTTACTACAGAATACATTTGAAAGTATTCTGGGACATTATGAGGCCCATGTTTAGCTTACACATCTGCATCTCGTCCTAGAAAACATTGGACATAGATGGATGGATCTTCTACAAGGGCCTTGAAGTCTGTGTCTTAGTATATATGGTATTCATCTTCTCCAGGCAAATTTGCAACTTCATTTCTTATTACCTAACTACTCCACATTCGTATTGTTTACCCTTTTTTACTCAGAAGTACGACTACTGGACTTAGTTAAGCTTTAGAAACACTCAGTTTTACTACCAACCTCTAATCATTTGAAACCAAAACTGCATACAATGAAAGATGAATATATAGATACAGAAGATACCAATTAGTTGTATCTCTTTTGGGTTGTTACAATATTTTTCTTGTCATTCAAATTTAATTGGGCCCTGAGAGGGTTAAAGTTACGTATAAACTGACTTTCCATGACGTCATCTCAGCTATTTCATGATCATTTTCTATTTCATTGGTTGTGCAGGGAAACTAAGTCAAGTCAGATAGGTAGAACATTTTTTTTACGTCCCAACCACAAACAAATAGTGTTTTAAAGTTTTATTTGATTAGCCACAACAAGTAACAGACTAGTGTGAAGCGAAAACAAATAATACAAGAGGATATTTTAGGTTTGTTAAATAGAAAATAAGTATTCATACAACATGAGTAAACACTTTATGGAACCTCCTTCTGTTGTACATCTAGAGTCTGAAAGTTTTGCCCATTCATCAAAACAAACTCAAAATGTGTACAGTTAGATGGAGAGTGTTTGTGAACAGCAGTTTTCAATTATATTTTGGTGTGGACTTTGACTGGGCCGTTCTGAACCATGGCTATGTTTTGTAATTCACCATCCAGGGATAGGGTGTAGTAGACCAAACATGAGACAAGGACAACAGATGTAAAAAAATAAATCTCTAATTAAGTTCAGAAAAATATAATTTGACAAAAAAAGAGGAAAAAAACACCACCAAGGACTAAAGAGGAGTAACCCAAATGAACACCCAAGAGAGAAATGCTAAACTGAAAATAACATCAGCAGTGTCTCTTTACCCTTTCCAAATGGATTCTCCCCCGGTAAAAAAAAAAAAACCTCTAGCTCTCCGGTTTTGTCCTTTGGCTTGGCTGAAAAAAGCCAATTGTGAGGGATGATTCTGAAGAAAATAATAAAGTGAAGTAAAAGTAATACCTCACACTGTGGAGGGTTGGCAGAAGATTCCATCACACAGGGTTATAAAATACTTATAACCCTGGGACCATTGGGATATTGCCCAATGGTCAGTAAACATCCACCCCTGCAGCTTCTCTTCAAATATTATGCTGAATTTTTGTTCATTCACTTTCCATTAAACTCTTCCCTGTCTCTGCTGAAGAAAGGCAGCCCCACAGCATGATACTACCACCCCCATATTCAACACAGATTATGGTGTGAGTAAAGACAAAGTGTTATTCATCGTCTTCTATGTTGAACGTGTCTTTGCTTCTTGCTGCCTCATTTCAACACCGGTTTCCTATTTTCCACAGGTCCATAAAGACCAGAGTAGTGTGGTGCATGACTAATATTTGCCAATATTTTGGGAGCGGCTGAATTATTAGTCAGTCATTCACTGCAGTGGTATTTATTGGCAGCAGCAGCTCGGATCATCACTCACCCAGAGACTGCTCTCGTCATTTGAAAACAAATTTAATATCTGCTTACGATAACAATCCTCAGTCCTATTGCAGATCTGTTTCCCACCCATGCTAAATCTTGTTTATTAAATTGGAGCATATGGGAAATCATTCAGGTTTACGAACTGCACAGGTGGGAAATATGCATCATATTTAAAGAAGCTATACCCGATTTTTTTTCTAAGTAGTTCATAAAAATGCTTTTTACTACATACAAGTTGTATCATAATACATCATTTAATTGAAAACTTGAGGTCATTGATTCAGCTGTGTATGAAATGTATGCCATGAAAAGTGCTGAGTGGAGTCTTAGCGGGACGCTCGTTCTCCTCCACTCACAGAACGAGCAGCGAACAGCCTGCGTCCTCTAGCCTCTACACCAGGACTTCGACTTCAAAATTCGAATATAATTCTAAAATAAAAAATATATGTATTCGAACAAATATTAGACAGCCCTTATAATTCAAAATGTATTTAATGACTGCAAATAAAATAGTTAGCTCCCAAAGGTTTTACCGGGACGTGCTAGGCAGGTAACAGCTAAGCTAGCTAGCTGTTTCATGGTAACTTCCGGGTTTTTCGCGATCGCTTTTTGTCACTTTAAAACAGTATTTTTGTCACGAAACGTTGACAGCAAATTCTGAAATTGTCCGTGCATGTGTGTTAAGGATGTATATGTATACTGTATTGTCCGATTAACGTTTAATGGTGTTGATTGAGGGGGCGAGAGTAGCTCAGTTGGTAGAGCATTGGCCTTAAGGCCAGAAGGTCGTGGGTTCAATTCCCACCTCTGCACCTTCTCCACCGACTCCCACTGATGACTGCTGTTGTTGTGTCCTTGGGCAAGACACTTAACTCCACTTTGCCCAAAGCCCCCGCTGAAAGATCAAGGCTATGCTCACACTCAGAGAGCAGCCGTCCTCCTGTGGACTCACCACCTGCAGAGGGTCAGTGAGGGGCTGGTGCTATGAGACTTGGGTGGCATCTCTGACTGCCACCCCCCTGACCCAGAAATGGATTAAAGGGTAGAAAATGGATGGATGGATGGGTGTTGATTGATAGATATGTAGTTGTTTATTGAGCGTGGCTAGCTTCTCTCGTTGTACTTGCGGAGTAATGGCAGTATTTTACACACCTGAATTACAAACAGAGATAGCATTGTCAAAGGGCAGCGGTCATTATTGATTTGAGAGTTCTGTGATCGGTAGAAATACATTCAAGTCAATGGAGTGTTCTACTGCTGCTGTGAGGAGCTGTATAATGAATTATAATTAATTACTCGAATATATTCTAATGTTTTAATGAATAAATTCGGATGGGAAACTAGCAGTATTCTTTTACCTATATATTGTGTTAGCAGTGCATTGCTTTAGTACCATTTCATCTGTGATTGTTGTACAGCTTACAAGAAGTTGTGCTAATGCTAATGTTAGCATACATGTCAGATCGCAAATTGAGCTAGATGGCTCTGTGTTATGAGAGCGCAGGGGAAATGAGAAGCCATTGAGCGAGTTGGGGGGCGGTGCTAAACATTCAAACCTTGCAGAAACGGGTATAGCGCCTTTAAAGACCTATTGTTTAAACGTATGTGGACTTTTCCAAGACCATGTGATAATTGTTTCCCTTCATCAATTTCCCGTTCAAAGTTGCCTGTAAAGTGATTTTTGCTTGTTTGACTAATTCTTAATTCTCCATGCAGGGTGTCATTGCTTTGATGATCCCTATTATTGATTGAAATGTGTTTTACAATTAGTAGTGGTAAATGTATTGTTCAATAGATGTGTAACAAAGCCCAGTTTTTTTACCGTCTTTAAGTCTTTTTGCTTGAGCCGAGCTGGCGCCAGATAGAATTTGTGTCATGTCCTGTTGTGTTTTATAACGAAGTCACTGTTTCTTGTTACTCATCTGTGACCTATTGTCTTCCATGTCTTGATCCCTGTGTTTTTTGTTCGACTGCTGGTTCCTTTGACTTTTTGCCTGCACTTTTAAATCTGTTAAACTGCCTTTTTGACTTGGGTCTGTTTTTTCACTCTTGTACAAGTTGCTTTAATATAATTTGACAGCTTGTATAAACACAGACAGAGCACATACTCAGACTTTAATGCAGGTCCTGGTGGATTTTTGAGGGAGCTGCCCCACACTGACCTGAGTGAGAGAGTGCGTCAAAGTTATTTCTAATTTCTATTCCGCCGTGGTTTGCTCCGGTCTCCTGATCAAAACAAAGCTGTCCTCCAGTTCATCAGAGTTAGGCAGATGCTTTCTAATCACGGCGAGAAGGAGGGCGGGCTGACATCTTTGTGGTCTGAAATTAGGCGTCTCTCTCAGAAGTTTAAACACGTCTAACCCTATTTGCTTCTTGTGCAAATCCCATAATGCTTTTCAGCTCGGGGCAGGATATTGCTGTTTGCCGTTGACAAGTTGACAAACTGTAAAACCTAGAGAGTGGGAGTAGTAGAAGTGTGTGAGGCCCAATGAAAAGGCTGAAAAGATTAAGATTGAGATATCCTTTGTCTGTCCCACAGTGGGGAAATGTCAGTGTATGTTTCAGTATGAGGAGCACACAGCACAAGATAAATGAACAATATCTTTACTAATTAAAATAAAAGGGAAACCTCAAGGATCAACCGAACGGCTTTAACACTTTTTTTGATGCACTAAAACAGGGGCGGCCAACCAGTCAGAGACTAAGGGTGTATTCAGACCTGAAAAGTCCTTTGCTCCGCTTGCTTGATCCGAATCAAAAGCGGACCAAACTTTTTTCTTTTGCTCCGGTTCGTATTCAGACTGTCCTTTTTGCAAGTGAACTTTTTTATATAAACATATCGACACATGTGACGATCGGCGCTCCTATTGGACAGCGAGAGCTCACGGAGGATAGACGCGGAACCGGAGGAAAACATTGAGGGCTCGTATGTGCAGCATGTCTGCTCTGCCTATGTTTGCTCTTTTTAGAGCAAAACCACCTTCAACAGCAGCTCATATGACACAGGCGAAACACGTTGTTTTAAATATTGGAACAGCGTCGGAGAATGCGTGAGGAGAAAGCCGAAGGAGACTCTGTGCGCTCCGTGCCCTGTCCCACACATGGATCTATGATAATAACGGCCCTGTTCAGCATTGTGGATAAACCATGGATCTATAATAACCACGAGACAAACAGACGCTGAGGATCAGGTATGAACCAAAGAACACAATTCACTACATGATGCGGAATATTGCTCTTTGAGACGTGA